CTTGCTTTCTCTTCCTTGGAACTCAGTATCCCCATGTGTAAGCTGTAGTGTTGGATCAGCAATTAGATAATAAGATCTCTTCCATGTCTAAACTTCTATGACTGATGATTCTGAGTCATAAGGTCACATTTGACAGTATCAGGAGACCCAGGAAATAACAAGCAAAGGCAACATAGGACGTGTCAACATGGGTCAGATGATCTATTTGGGCAAGATAACAGACGCAGGCATGGACATGCACTCCAAGAAAGATGCTCTACCATAGAAAGAAAAAGAGAGTGAATGAGAGAGAGATAGAGATAGATAGATAGATAGATAGATAGATAGATAGATAGATAGATAGAAGAAACAAATAATAAAAGAAAATAAAAGGTGTTCTACCAGCTGCTCAAACTGAAGCTGAACCAAACAGTCCAGTCCTTAGAAGTCCCAGATAGAGTCTTCAAGGCTCCCTAAGCCAATGACATAATGCCCATGAAATTATAAAACACATGTTTTATAAAACATGTTATATAAAACACATGTCAATTATAAAACACAAATTGTGGCATTGTTTTGAACAGAAAGAGCCAAATTCAATTAGTGATTTACAGATAATAACTGAACCAAGTTCTACTAATTGGTGATTTAAAAAAAAGTCACGTTAAAAAGATCACCTCATCCCCAGTGACCCTACAGGCCAGGGAATAAGCTGATTTGGTTCATGCAGTTCATCCCCCTGTACCTGTTTGGGGCTGTGCCAGCCACTGCCAGTACAAACTTCCCATTTATTTGTGGTTGCAGACTTGGCTGGATACCTTTAACCAAATCCCTTCCTGACATTATCAAAGACGCCAAGTAAACAAGCTCACCCAGCCCCTCAGCCTATGGGACCCACTTGCCCAGTGTTCTGTTCTCTGAGGATGGACAGTATACCCTTTGATGAATGCTGTTTCCAAGCTAAGGCCCAAGACCTAGATCACAGTTCTCAGAGTGTGCTCTGGTCCAACCACTCCAGAAGCACCCAGGCTGCTGGTTAAAAGGCTGATGCTGGGGGCCCATGCTAGCCCCTCTCTGTGGGTTAAGACCTAAAGTTCTCCTAGGGTGATTCTTAGGTGCTCAGATGTTTTAGAACCACTGATCCAGCTCTTTAAATGGCTTCCTAAGAGTTATTCTTGCTAATCCTGACCAATTTAGCTGCTTGCAAACAAGAAACCGGCCACTTTGATCAACTGAACTCTATTTAAAGTAATATATGTCTTCAAAAACATTTAAAATCTCTTCCTTCTGAATCCTCAGAATAATGCATTTTAAAACTTCATCTTAAGTAATAAAAACATTGCTGGAAACCAGGCATAAAGAGAATTTGAGCAAAAGATGATCTATTCTCATATGGGAAATAATCTGGGAGATGACAGGCACAGGGAGTTGTCATAACACATGTGCTCATAGGTCACTTGGAGGCCAGGGTGGCACAGAGAGACAGGAGCCAGCTGCCCAAGGTCTCAGAATGTGTGGGACTGTTCACTGCAACAGCTATTGCATCCATGCCCAGCACTACTGCCATTAGTGGCCTGCAGCTTTTCTGCTTTCTCACAGACCCTTATTCCAAACCATGTTTCTTCTCTGGGCCCTTACCAGATAGGGTTTATCTGAATACTGCCCAAAGCAGAAAGAACTCTGAACTGAGAGAGCCCTGAAAGTGCCAGTGATCTTCAGACTTGCCCCTCATTTTTACATTTTTTTCATTACAGGAACTTGTCACAGATCCAATGGGGTCTAACAAAAACAGGAATTGAAATCAAGCCATAGGAAGCCCTTCCTGCAAGAGAGAGACAGCATGATTATCCATACCTGCTCTGAGTTTAGGGCCTCCCAATACTTCTGCTGCAGAATAAAAAGAGAGAGAGAAAAAGTGTTGGACTGATTCTGCTGCCATCACAGAGCAGAGCAGAGCTCAGTGCCAGTCCCTGACTGCTCAGTGAGCCAGGAGACAGGCCCTCAGAGGGTTGGAGGACAAAGGGACAGCTGATTTCAGCAAGCAGGAAGACAGCAGCTACTAGCACTTACAATTTTGTTAAATAATCAGTAAGATAATTGTGATAATTATGAAGGGCTGCAGGTCCTGGGAAAAATTACAGTCTATAGAGATTTAAAAATTACTATTATTAGAAATTATTATTATTAAGAGAAATAATAATAAATCTCCCATTTATTAACCACACAGCTGAGATGACTCAAACCCATAAACTAAGAAAGACAGATGCAAATAAAATCCTTGCTTTGCAAATATGGGGTATTTGCTACCAGCCAGGATTCAATTTTAATCAGCGTTTACCGCATGGTTGGTTCTACTCCAAGCCTCAGATATGTCAGACTCAGGTTCTCAAAGGGCGGTACCATGGTCTGCTCTCGTTCCTGCAGCACTTCATGCAGTGCCTGGGAGACCTGTATTTCTGACATAGAGCTATGAATCTGCAAATTTCTGTTATACTGATCTGTGAATGTCTGTTAAACAGCTAGCAACTCAGGTTCTCAAAGGGCGGTACCATGGTCTGCTCTCGTTCCTGCAGCACTTCATGCAGTGACTGGGAGACCTGTATTTCTGACATAGAGCTATGAATCTGCAAATTTCTGTTATACTGATCTGTGAATGTCTGTTAAACAGCTAGCAATCTGAACAGTCCACAGGATTTGGAGTTATTACCACATTAAAACAAAGTCTGTACTGTTCAAGTCTTTTACATTTTCATTTTAAATGACTTTTTAATTATAGGATTTTCAATCACACACAAAGGTAAAAGAAATATCTAAAGAACACCAACGAATACATCTGCTTTTATTTGATCTAACTCCCCAACTTCTTTTGAATTTTTTTCTAAAAATGTAAATTTTTCATTTTTATAGCAGTTTTAGTTTTACAGAGAAATTGAGCAGAAAGTACCCAACCCTCCCCCCACCTAGTTTCTCCTATTGCTGACATGTTACACTGGTGTGCTACATTTGTCACGATCGTGAATCAATATTGATATATTAATATTAATTTCATATTAGGGTTCCCTCTTTGTATTGTACAGTTCTATGGGTTTTGCCCAATTCATAATGCCATGTATTAGCCATTACAATATCATACAGAATAGTTTTGCTGCCCTAAAAATCCTCTGTGCTCTACCTATTTACCCCTCTCCCTCCCTCATCCCCTAAAATCCTGGCAACCACTAATTTATTTTCATTACCTCGAATATTTATTATTTTTGTGTGTTCTCCCTATTTTTTTACTGGCTAAAATATTCCAAAATAAATAATTTCATCTGTAAAAGTGTCAGAATTTATCTCATACATAACCTTTTAAAAATCCTAAACACAATGCCATTATTATACCGAACAAATTATCAATAAGTCCTTAGCTTT